AAAAAAAACAGTATTTTCCTTCTTCCACAAGGAAAAACAGCCCAGTTGCCTTTTGAAAAAACACCTCTGAGACAACTATGACCTGGATGACTGAAAATCTCCACAGATACTCTAAAATAGTTTTATGTGGAGGACTATTTGTGCTGATTCTCTATCCCAACCTTTCTCCCCTCTTTTTAATGGAAAGTTAACATGTGTGATACATGGAACTCTTTATGACACGGGTGTCAAATTTGGGCCGGATCCAGGCCACGGGGTGCTTAGATCTGGCCTGCGAGGCCGGCCTGGAAACAGCAAAGGTTTCTCCCATGGTGCCTCTGCCAGCCAAAATGGAGCCCACAAGCTCCATTTTCACTGGCAGAGGGCTAGCAAAACAAACTAAAAACAAAACAAACGGAAAAATGTTTCCCCTTTTGCATTTGAGCATGCAAAAAGGAGCAGGAAAGGAGAAAGGGAAAGAGGAAAAACAAAGAAAAAGAAGGAAAGTTGAGAAAAGAGGAAGGAAGGAAAAATAAGGAAAGAGGGGAAAGAAGAAAGAATGAAGAGAGAAGGAAAGAGAAAGGAAGGAAGGAAATTGTAATGAGAGTGAGGGAGGGTTTCAGGGAACTCCTGGCTTAGTACTTGGCCACCACAGGTGCCCCCGACAGGAGTGACGCTGAGCTGGCCACGCCCCCCCAGCCACGCCCCGTCCCCCGGCCCTCCGAGGTCAAACACAACCCTGATGTGGCCCTCAATGAAATTGAGTTTGACATCCCTGCTCTATGACAGGTCCTTTGGTTTGTAACTCTTTTAAGACTACAGGTGGTCCTTGACTTTCGTTCATTCAGTGACCGTTCACAGTCACAAGGGCACTGAAAAAAGTGATTTATGCCCAATTTTCACACTTATGACCATTGCAGCATCCCCATGCTCTCATGGTCAAAATTCAGACACTTGGCAACTGACTCATATTTATGACGGTTTCTGTGTCCCAGGGTCATGTGATCCCCTTTTGCGACCTTCTGACAAGCAGAATCAAGGGGGAAGCCAGATTCACTTAACAACCATGTTACTAACTTAACTACGGTGATTCACTTAACATCTGTGGCAAGAAAGGTTGTAAAATGTGGCAGAACTCATTTCACAAATGACTCACTTAGCAACAGATATTTTGGGCTTGGTTCTGGTCGTAAGTTGAGGATGACTTGTATTTATTCTTCATCATCATCTTGGCCACAGGGAGTGCAAATTTGGGTGCTGAAATTAGCCATTGAACTGTGAGGTCAAAGCCACATTCTCCAAGAGGATTGGTAGAACGAGGCTTCAAAACTAGCTTTGACTGCATTTCTTTCATGTCTCAAATTAGAAGCAGAGATGATTACTCTCCAATTATATATTTAACCATTTTCCCCATGTGCTGTCTTCCAAGCTAGAGTTTGTTGGCAACTTTTGGAGTCCTTTGGGAGGTGATGCAACTCCTTTGGGGATCACATGTGTTCTTGGATCTTCCTTCTGCGGCCTAGATCAAGGTTTAGCGCAGCACTGAGCTGTCCCAGTCACGCCACTCTGAAGAATAAACAAAGACTCACAGCAATTGGCGTGATGCATCTAGCATTGGTATAGGGAGCAGCTGAAAAACTCATATTTTTTAAATTTTTCTTTATGTGCTCTCCCAAAGGCCCATTCCAATCCTTTAACAAACTTGGCCAAAAAATTGTTAAGTTGATTAGAAAGCCAGAGTAACTGATAATGAACAGAATCTAGTTTCCACGAGAATTCTTGCTTGTTCTAGGATCTAAGATGAGGCAAGGGGCCGAATTTTTGCATAACCACCGATTATGAGTTGGGTCTGGGAAAATGGCATCCAATCATATTTGGAACATTACCAATGTTGCAATGCTCCTACCTTTGTTTTAGGAGTTGATGGAACAAAATTGCTCAGAGAGCACCACGAAACCCATTACAGGTAGTCCTTGACTTAATGACCACAATGGAGGCCAGTATTTCTGTTGCTAAGTGAAACATTGGTTAAGTGAATCTTGCCCCCATTTTACGACCTTTCTTGCCACAGTTGTTAAGTGAATCACTGCAGTTATTAAGTTAGTAACATGGTTGTTAAGTGAATCTGGTTTCCCCATTGACTTTGGTTGTCAGACGATCTCTGAAAGTGATCACGTGACTCCCAGGACATTGCAATTGTCATAAATACGAGTCAGTTGCCAAGCGTCAAATTTTGATCACATCACTCTAGGGATACTGCAACAGTATGAAAGTTTGAAAAACAGTCACACAGTCACTTTTACCAATGTTGTAACTTTGAATGGTCACTAAATGAACTGTTGTCAATACAGGACTACCTGTACAAAATAAGTATTATCTGTGTGTGTCTCTAGTATGAAAGCCAAAAGGATCTGTGTCTTGTTCTCTGTACAGTATGCTAATACTGATAACTTAGAACAGAGGTCCCCAAACTTGGCAACTTTAAGACTTGTGGACTTCAACTCCCAAAATTCTGGGAGTTGAAGTCCACAAGTCTTAAAGTTGCCAAATTTGGGGACCCCTGGCTTAGAATAAGGTAAATGTATAGATTACTAATAATATTTTTGGAAATGCTGGCTTGGGACAAGGAAGAATCTTGGTGATCATTTGAGAATTTGCAGCTGGGCTTGCCGATTTTAAAAAAAATGATATATGTGAAAGACCTTTATTTGAATTCGTATTCAATTCTCTGCATTGAAAATGGCTTGGATGGTTTTCGTCATAAAACACTTGATTACATTAAAATGAGGTTGGATAGTTCGCAATTTACTTCCTTATAGATCTCAGCAGTGCACATTGCATAGTAAGTGAACCAGACTCTGTGTGTAGCACAGGATTTTGGCTAAAAATAGCCATTTTAATTGGTTAAGCTGGGTCGTAGGATAAACATACCATATGAATCCATCTAGTAACTTTTCAGTGGTTTAGCAGATCTTGGGGAGAAGAATGCATTTGCTTGCAGGGAATTTGAACTTGGTATTCTGATCTTTTCGGGCTTCCATGTTGAGGGCTCAGATTTTTCCTGAGATTTTGAGACGTATAGGTAGGGGTGGCTGTGTTACAGGAAAGGAGAAATGCCCATCTTGACTGAAACTGTAGCTATAGTCTTTGGAGATAAGTGAGGGAGGGTTCTTACCGACTTCCCTCACCGGGGGGTGTCCAAAAGTGGAATTTCACAACTTGTGGACTTCAACTTGCAGAATTCCTCAGCCAAGCCATACTGTAGTTTTAACTGGAGACAAAACCTGTGCATCTAAAGTACCACGCACAAATAACCGCATCTGAATCCCCCTCTATAAACGGGTGGCTGTTAACGAATTTTGTTCTCTTTCCCCAGTGCGGTTCAGCAGAATATATGGCTCCAGAAGTGGTGGAGGCCTTCAGTGAAGAAGCATCCATCTACGACAAGCGCTGCGATTTATGGAGCTTGGGAGTCATTCTGTACATCATGTTGAGCGGTTACCCCCCTTTTGTGGGTCACTGTGGGACCGACTGCGGCTGGGACCGTGGTGAAGCATGTCCTGCTTGCCAGGTGATCATACCCAGATGGCACTTCCTGTTTGTCAGCCGTGCAAAAGTCCAAAAAACTTCCATTGGCTTCTCTCTCTCCCCCCCCCTCCTTTTTAAGAAATGTCATCATTGGGTCCTTGTACGTGGTTTTTTAAACTGTTTATTTTAGATGTGCTGGCTTCTTTTCGTAACATAGCTTTCTTTCCTCACAGAATATGCTGTTTGAAAGCATCCAGGAGGGGAAGTACGAATTCCCGGATAAGGACTGGGCTCACATCTCTTTTGAAGCTAAAGACCTCATTTCAAAGCTTCTTGTAAGAGATGCCAAAAAGCGTCTGAGCGCGGGCGAAGTCCTCAAGCATCCTTGGGTACAAGGGGTGAGCATTCTTGAGTGAAGTGGACAAAAGATGGACATGTGATCGTTTTTTTTTTGCCTTTCTGCTTACCTGGGGCGAAGGATTATTCGTATGGCAGACTATCTCTATCACCTCTCTCTTTCTCTCCCTCCCTCCATCTCTCTCTCTCCCTATCTCCATCTTCTCCCTCCCTCTCCTATCTATTTTTATATCTGTTTATACAACTCTGTATCTTTCATTTATCTATTTCTATTTATGTCTATATCTCTATATTTCTATCTCTATTTCTATATCTCTTTCTATTTCTATCTACCTTTCTGTTTCTATTTTTCTTTATCTATCTCTATATTTCTATCATCTACATCTGTCTATCTCAGTCTGTCTATCTGCTTTAGAAACTACCATCTCCCTCACAGAGACTCTCTAGGCCAGAGGCCTCCAACCTTGGCAACTTTAAGACTTGTGGACTTCAACTCCCAGAATTCCCCAGCCAGCATAGCTCTCATTCTAGGAGTTGGAAGTCCACAAGTCTTAAAGTTGCCAAGTTTGGAGACCCCTGCTCTAGGCAGTGTATAAATAAAACATTAAAAAAGTAAAAACTAAATATAAAAATTTAAAATGGAGGCAAGAATAATTAAAATTCAAAATTTAATTAAAAGGGAAGGGGAGAGCTTTCGGGGTGCTAACCTCCCTGCTGCGTGCTCACAAGCAAGAATATTCAGTGTCAATGTAAGTTAAGGCTCCAAAGTTTAAAAAAATAGGAAGAAGGCGTGGCACTTATTGTAGCCAAAAACCCGGTGTGGATATATATCCATGAAATCTCTAGTCATCAGGCTTGATTGAAGTAAAACCTAAACTTTCAATAGTGTTTTTCAACCCTGGCAACTTTGAAGTATGTGGACTTCAATTCCCAGAATTCCCCAGACAGCCATAAGTTGAAATCAGTGGGTTTCAAAGTAGGTTACCACCAGTTCGGTGGGTGTGGCTTGGTGGGTGCACTTTGCGCAGGCGCAGAGGCTTTCCTACTCACCTCCTGCAATCCTGTACTCTGCCTGTCGCTTCAGCAGCTGAGGTGCAGCAATCTACTGTGCCGCAGGTCAGTATGGGAGCCCGGCTAGGGGGGTAGGCCCAACAGCAGCTCCTCAGAGAGAACCGATTAGGTCTCGGCTGATCTTCGCCAGAACCGGGCTGAACCGGTAGAAAAGCACCACTGGTTGGAAATCCACATATTTTAGAAGCTGTCACGGTGGAGAAACAATTCCTCCCAGATTTGGAAGTCCCAGACATGGACTCCTTTTTTGTAAAGTGAATTTCTGTCTGTGTCCAGAGTGTACCTGCAGTAGTGAACAAGGCAGCCCCTCCAGTATTTATTTAGAAATAGTTAGCTACATAATGTTTGAATAGGGTTGACGTATCTCCATTGTGCTCATTTAAATGGAACTTTAATTTTGTCATGGAAAAATGCAGAGAAGGTGTAACTTAAAAGGGCACCAGGTCTGCAAGGAGTTGTAAGCAGTCTTAGATGATTATTATGGTGACGACTTTTGTTTTTTTTTTTGTTTTGCTTCTAGTGTGCTCCTGATAACACGCTCCCCACTCCAATCATCCTACAAAGGTGAGTGAAGCATTTCAGAAATACTTTTAATAAATAAGAATGTTGGGGTATACCTCAAATCTTCCTTGGTTTCTGTAGAGAATTATAGCCACATACGAGGTTTCTTGTCGCTTGGGAATTTGTTTTTATTCAGAAACTGAATACATTGAAAGCAACAGCTTTCTAATCTTGACTGCATTATCAGCCTTTCGGTCATAAACCAGTATAACATGTGTATAATTACCACTATTTCCATGGTAATTTTAAGGTGTGTAGAACTTTCAGATTAATAATAGGTGGTAGGGAATACCAATGAAAAATGGAAAGGCACGCCAGAAAATGTAGGCAGTTCTGCTGTTGTCACAGACTTCCTTCAGTGAAGCAAATAACTGGGTGGCTAACAATACAAAATCACACTAAAACAAAATTCAGAATACATTTAACAGCAAATGAAATAAATAGAAGAGTTGAGCAAAATGGGTCACAATTGCAAACACACATATGTTTTGCTCTGCTAACAACCGAGCCTTAATACCTAAGAGAAAAGTCGGGTGTTTGTGGCCTTCTGGAAGTCAACATGATGTGCTAGACCCCAGGCCAGGCAAGAGCAGAGTTGACCATCTGAAACTTGTACCTAGTTAAGCAACAAATAATTTAGCCCAAATTCCGATTCCAGTGGAGTCCCTCCCACAGAGCTCTCAGGAGCAAATCTGCAAAACGAAGTTACAGGCAGTCCTTGACTTTATGACCACAGTTGAATCCAACATTTCTGTTGCTAAGTGAGACAGTAATTAAGTGAATTTTGCCCCATTTCACAACCCTTCTAGCCACAGTTGTTAAGTGAATCACTGCAGTTATTAAGAGCCGCGGTGGTGCAAGTGGTTAGAGTGCAGTACTGCAGGCTACTTCTGCTGCCTGCCGACTGCCTGCAATTTGGCAATTTGATTCTCACCAGGCTCAGCCTTCCATCCTTCCAAAGTGGGTAAAATGAGGATCCAGATTGTTGGGGGCAAGAGGCTGACTCTGTAAACTGCTTAGAAAGGGCTGTAAAGCACTGTGAAGCGATACGTAAGTCTTAAGTGCTATTGCTAGTCAGTTAAGCGAATCCAGATTCCCCATTGACTTTGCTTGTCAGAAGGTCGCAAAAGGGGATCCCATGACCCCAGGACACTGCAACCATCATAAATATGGGTCAGTTGCCCTTTTTCTGAATTTTGATCATGTGACCAGGAAGATGCTTGCAACAGTTGTAAGTTTGGAAAACGGTCATAAGTCATTTTTTTTTTCAGTGCCGTGGTAACTTCAAATGGTCACTAAATAAACTGTGGTTAAATCGAGGATTAACTGTCAATGCCAGGTCCAAAATTCTTCCTCTGCACCCACCCTTTTTTAATCCACTGGGTTGTGGGATATGCTGCGGGAACGAGGTCTGGGTGGTCGTAATGGGCTTTCTTGTCGTTGCCCTTGGTAGGAACAGCAGTGCCAAAGAGTTGACCTCGTTTGCCGCCGAAGCCATTGCTGTCAACCGTCAGTTAATGCAGCACGAGGAGGAAGCTGCGGAGGAGACTCACCCCATCATCATCAAAGCTACCTCATGCTCTATGCACCTCTCTCCTCCTTCCGAATCCAAGCTGGCCAAACGAAGACAGAAGACAAGCATGGCTAAAGCGAACCCCGCCCAGCATCTGGTGGCCCCCTTGGTCTTGGTTGGGGATCACATGTGACTGCCTTTCGTTCTATACGTCCATTCTTCCATTCTCCCCCCCTCACCTCCCTCACCCCTTTGTGTCATTTCGGACAAAAAAGGTCTGCTTGAGTAGCTTAACAAAAGATCAAGATCAAGTTGGCTGGTTTCCAAGGATTCTTTTCTGTCTTTGATCTTGTTCCACAGGAGCTGTTTTGTTTCTTGTTCCTTTTATTTTTTCTCTCTCTCTCCCTCCCTCTCTCTCTCTCCCCCTCTCTTTTAAGCTATTTAAATTCTGTTCCTCCCTTCCCTTGTTTCCCCATCTTCCCAGTGCATTTTGATATACACGTAATTTTTGCTTAAAAAGTTAAAAAAAAAAAAAGTCCCCTCCCCCCCCCCGGAGGGTTCCTTTTTCGGGGGGGGGGGGGGTAGGGTTTCTGTTCCTTTTTTTTGTTTTTCCTTCTCTCAGCTTCTTGTACTGTGAAAAGAGGGGAGGGAGAAAACCTTTCCCTTGTCTGTCCCACCCCAAGCCTGAACTTTTTAAACGTAGCATTTTTATGTTTGGAGAGTGTTTGCTTTTTTTTTTTTTTTTTACATTTATTTTAATTTTGTTCTTGCTATTGGTTTCTTTTTAAAAAACAAACAAACAAACATAACTACTTGGATTCTGTATGGTTTGAGGGTGGGTGGGATGAGGATTTATCTTGTCTTTTTTTTTTTTTTCTTTTCCCCAAAAAGCACTGGAGTGACTTAAGGGGGAGGAGGGAAACAATTACAGTCCATGAATTGTATGAATGTTCATTTATGGGGAAAATTTAGGGAAAATTGCAGTGTCTTCCCTAAAACTGTGTAGATTCTATAAGCTGAAAGTAGTTGTATCTGGGATATAAACAGAAGGGGAAGTTGGGAAGAGGAAACCCATACATATAGGGAGAAATTCCTTCTCCCCACCCCCTGGCACCGTTCACAGCACTTATTTTGTATTTTGTTTGTTCTTTTTTTTTTCTTCTCAAGGGGCCAAGCTGTGGATGATAACACAAGAACTCTATTTTGTTTCAATCCAGATATGTCCTGTTGACATGGGAGGGGTCCAATATTTTTTTTTAAGAGCAGAAGGGATGCATGTTTTAGGACCTACCATAGTGGAATTTAATCCCTTATGGTTTTTCCCCTCCTGTTTGATGCAGAGAAATAAAGGTGAAAAAAGTTCTAGTAGAAAGGAAAGATTTTACTACCTTCCATAGAGTAAGCCAGTGTTTCTCAACCTTGGCAACTTGAAGAGGTGTGGACTTCAACTCCCAGAATTCCCCTGTCAACATGGCTGGTTGGGGAATTCTGGGAGTTGAAGTCCATATGTCTTAAAACTGCCAAGGTTGGGAAACATTGAAGTATAAGCTATTAGGGGGAAAAAAAGTGAGGCTTAATCTGAAAAGAAGGTAGTCAATATTAATTAAACCATCCTCTGCAGGGCTGTAAAAATCTTTGCAAAAATACTCACAGAGATATGTACAATTGCTTCAGAGTTTGCAAATGTAGGATGCCCTCGTAGATTAAATTCTTATCGTGGCAGAATATTTTTTTGCAATCCTTTACAACTTTTGCTGACTGGTTTTTTTTTTTAATTTGTTTTAAACCAAGGTGATGCATTGTTTGATCTCCCCATCCTAAAGGCAGACTATGGCTTGAGGGAATTATTTCAAAACATTTCCCAGTCTTTGGAGCCTTTAAGCTTTGGTTCTACTTATTCTGAACCAATATAAATAGAATTCCTCAGGGATGGTTGCTTCCAACGTGACTAATTAATTTGGAGAACCTCTAAGCCTCCCCTTCCCCCAATCTAAAGAACTACAGTTCCTATAATTGTGGATTTTGTGTGAGAAAACAACAAATCTAGTTTAAAGCTAGACCTGTTGTAAGCATGTGAATCTGGGGGGAGCAGGTGTAGAACTATAAATCAAACTCAGGATGGTGCATTCAGATGTGCTAAAATGGCCAAAAGCTTGCTTTTTGGAAGGAAGGAAGAGAAACACTTGGATGTATGTGGTGTGTCATACAGAGAAGAAATTGGAAGATTGGGTAATTTAAAAAAAAATTGGTTTCAATGCATAAAATTGAAGCCGTGAGCAAGTAGCATATTGGGGTGAAATTCTGGTAGAAGATTCTCAGAAGAGGGACAAAAATGGTATTTGGTTAGTGGTCCTCTTCGGCGTCCACCTCTTCTCATCGCCCTTTCTGGCCAGAATGTAAGCATCAAATTGAGAATTGCCAGACAACTGCCAATAGTTTACTGCTGTTTGACCTTCATCATTTTCTCCAGTCCTCCATTGTATTCCAGTGTCTAGCATCTAAGCATTCTGGGAATTGCCTGCATTGTGAGGCCACAAGGCTCAGGAGCATTCTGGGAAATTAAATGGCAGGTCCAAGGTATTGGATGATGGATGTTGCTCAGCTGCTGCCTGTTGATGCTTAGTCTAGAGGAGGGAGCCAACCTGAGAGCATTTCTGTAGGTCTCCTTCAATCCTGATACTAATCTTTGATATGAGACTGTCCTCAGTGTTTGGTCAGCCCATGGTTGAGTGTCAATATCCTATTCACCATGGATCGGTCATGTTGAATGAGGTGCCTCTGAGGATATTTTTTAGGCCAAGAGTTGAAAGTGGGGAAGAGGCATACCATCTTCCTCTTGAAACCCTGGCAACTTTTAAGACCCTATGGACTCCCAGAATTCCCCAGATAGCATGTCTGGCTAGGGAATTCTGGGAGTTGAAGTCCACAAACTCTTAAAAGTTTCCCAGTTAGACATTCATATCTTAAAGGCTGGAATATAATGAAACGTGATGGTGCTTTCCAGGCACACCTGGAAATTTAGACTATTGGCTGTTTGTGTTCACTGGGGAAGACTTAATCCCCCCCCCCCCCAAATTGCTCTGAGACAAACATAGCTCCAAGTCCTGCTTTCAAAATTTCTCGAAAAGACTGCACACACATCCAGGCATGAAAACATTTGTACATAAATCAGTATTGCATCATGATGTGGATTGGAAAATATTCTTGAATGTGTGTGTGTGGTGCCTTGATAATGGTGGCAGTTGTGACCAGGCTGTGGGCGGGCAGATACTTCTGCCATGCTCAAATCTAGTATTTCTACCTGCCTTCCTTTATGCATAAGCTACAGGGCAAGCAGCCCTATGCATTCTGACTTGGGAGCAACATCTACTGAATTCTGTTGGATTTGCTTATCCAAGTATGTGTAGGACGGGTTGATGGCTGAAGGACTGCCTTTCTAAGTGTAAAAGTATGGATGGGAAAGCTTACTGAATCTGTTAGACTTCCTTCAGAGGACCGAAGGGGAGGATAAACCACTTAGTTTCACATTGGAGGTGAAAGTTGTTGTTGAAATCTAGCTAGGGAAGTGGTTTTGAAACTTAGCGTGGTTTGCTGTGCATGGCAAGAGAGAGTTTTGCTTAAAGGTCAGTTTGGCCTATTGGACCTCCTTTCTAAGCCTTGGGATTTATTTATTTTTAATCCAGTGATAAGGTAGATCCTCTCCAGGACTTTGGTAGAATTGGTTGAACAGCCATGTGTATAAACTCAGATCTTGAGTGGTTGTAGCAAAACATCTGCTGGTGACTTCAGCTGCTATCCAGATGTGCACGTGTGGGCGTATCTGATCTAAGAACGATGCTTGTCTCTGAATAAAGACTTTTTAAGTAACAATACTATGCAAAGAAGTTTGAATCGTTTTGCTGAGAGAGTAATTTTTCTTTTCAGATGCAGGTTTTTTTTTTTTTTTATAAGTGTGGAGGCTTGTAAAATAACTCGTCACCTCCTTTCTTTTCTACTTTTTGATATTTTTTCTCTGCTTTCTTGACAGAGGGTAAAAGCAGATGGGATCTCCCTTTAGTATTATGGTTTGCTTGTTGTAACCTTGCAGTCTTTTCCAACAGATGCGCTTTCATTAAGGAATGGGTAGGAAGAGGGCACCATCTGAAATAATGAGGTGCAGAATACACTGGTTAGCTGAGCAGGCTACGTAATTGGAGAAATTATTTTTAAATCAGAGAACATTTTTATCGTACGATTCAGAGCAAAATTCTACATGGGTATGGATTTTGTCACCATCTTAATCAGGCCCTTTTTTTCTCAAGAAAGCTGTAAGATATGGCTTCTAAATTTGCTGATATTTAATCCTTTCAGGATTAGAAGCAGCTTCCAGTGTGGATGCTCTCATTCAGATGGTTTTAAGTTGCGTGTTGGGATATAATTTGCTTTGTTCTTGCTTTTTTGTTGTTGTTTATGCTGTGTCTATCCTTCAAAAGAAAGACAGCTTTAAGAACAATTTATCAAAAGTTAGGAATATATTTATACACTGATTTTGCTTTCCCTCAAGAGCATCCATTCCCCAGAAGTGACATGGTACCTGTATTTAGTTGAATATTTTAGCTTGGTCTGCAACAACTCTAAACCTTTGCGCATAGGGCCAGTGTGTGTGGCAGGGTCATCTGAAAAACAATAGTCTAAAATGTCCTCCTCCCCAACCATTTGGGATACCACTTTGGGAGAAGGAACACTTTCCTTCTACTTCCCTCTGTTTTATTCTTAAAGGGCCAAAATGGGTGATGCCCCGGGTATGCTGATAGGTTGGGAACGATGGACAGTGACTTTCAAACCAGCATTCTTAGTTGAAATGTGTGCTGTGCATCAATCTTTTTTAAACAAGGATACTTCTCAGGATTATTGTGTCAACACGTGAAGGATTGCTCATATTCCTTTTTTTTGACTCTCATTCGTGCCTGATGTTTAAGAGAAAAATAAAACAACCATCCTAGATAATTTATAAGGTGTTTGGAATTGTGTGACAGACTTGTGCACAGTTACAAAATAAAATCATGTAGATCGCCAAATAATAGCTTTTGTATCTCCTTCTGTGTGTGGGTCATCTTAATATACATCTAGCCCTTCTCTGCAGGGTTGCACATGGGTCAGAGTTGTGACCCCGGGAAAGCATGCTTTTTAATTGGTGAGGTTTTTAAAGCAAATAAATAGTCTTGGGCGGCTGGGTGAAGTGAAGCAATCTCATAAAAACATTGCTAAGATCATATCTTACTCTGGGATGGTGTATCTGATCTGAATAATCTTGAGTGAAAGGAGTCAAGTGTATGTATCCAAAAGTGAACTCTGCCCTATCTTATCTGTTACGAAAGGATGATGTTTTCTATGCCCAATGAAATGGGTGGTTGTGGTTTGTTGGCACTGGGTTTTTTTTTTTTAAGGCTTCTGTCAAAATAACATAACTTGCCTTAACTTGTTTCCTTTGCAATGTGGAATTCCATCTTGGTTTGGGGTTGATTTTTTTGTAAGATGAAGGT